CAAGCACACACACACACACTCACACACATGCACGCAAATGCGCGCACACATAAACACACACACATACATACACACAGACACATGTAAACACGCATGCTCATACGCACATGTACACACCCATAGGCCTACATATCTATTTTCTATTTGTGGTGGCCGACTTTTGCAATTCAAAAGGCTTATTTAATGGCTGCATCGATTGACATGCAATTTCGCCAAAAGATTCTTTAAAATATTCTCCAGAGCATGACAGCCTTGGTTTTTTAAGTTTTGAGACAGTTTTGCTGCAAAAAGCTAAACTTCTTTATTTCGCCGATCGCTTTTGTAGGCCGACGCTTCTGTCTCTGTTATTTTAGAAAATCCGGAAGTGATATTTCGCGAGGCACATTTTGTTTTGAGAGTATAGATCTAGACCTTATAATTTTTTGCATCTCTCAAGATTTATTGCCCCATTCCAGTAGAGTGTAAATGTAGAAGTCCAATGACTTTTAGTTGATATTAAAGCACCGATCATTCCTTTCATCGAAAGGGGGCCCAGCTAGTATAATATAATATTACAGTCTCTCACACATCCTCTCTTCCACACACATCTGGTACACATGAATATATATAGGCCCTATATATATATATAAAAATATATAATTGTAGGCTTCCTCTCATAAACAGGCTCACTGTCTCACACATCAAATATTTATTATGAACAATAACTGTGAACAGCAATACTGTTGAACGGGATACATAATAAGTATTCTGATTGCTACCAAATCATATTCTGATATTGCAGGCTTAAAAGGTCACAGGAATACCTATATTACAAGATGACTGAGTTGGCAGTAGTTTAATGGATGATGGTAAAAATAACCTCCAGTTCCTTTCTTTTTAGCAAATCAAAAACCTAGGTCTTCTTCTTCTGACTAATATTTCAATTTGAAATTTTATATGCTTTCCGTATGAATCGATTCAGTAGTACGTTATCTTGATGTCTTATTCCTACAGCCCATGCTACCACTGTCATACAGAAACTGACCATGCTTTCTATGGTCGAACGACACAATATGGACAACGATGAACTTCAAAATACAGCATAACGTGTCTTTCGTCTTCGTGTCTTCTGTGCTCCACCTATCCGTGTTATACTGCACATGCGTTCCCTCAGAAAAAATAGTCTTTTGTTCATTTTTTTACTGCAGGAGAGAAGTGTGGACACGCCAGTCAAAGTTTGTTGTCTACGGCCAGACCAAAAGTTTGTTGTCTATGGTAGGACCAAAAGTTTGTTGTCTATGACAAGACCAAAAGTTTGTTGTCTACGGTAGGACCAAAAGTTTGTTGTCTATGGTAGGACCAAAAGTTTGTTGTCTATGACAAGACCAAAAGTTTGTTGTCTACGGTAGGACCAAAAGTTTGTTGTCTATGGTAGGACCAAAAGTTTGTTGTCTACGGTAGGACCAAACAACTTATAATCTGAGACTTTCTTGACATTTTCATTCTTACTTTGGAGTGGCTCCAAGGAACAATTTCTTTTTTTCTAAAGGCTACATGTTCTTTGGGGGTTTTTTTCACATTTGAAAACAGTTTATGAGTTCCACACCACTTGGAAAAGTTTGATACAAAATTGTGATTAGCAGTTTCGTCGTCATGGTCAGCTTGTTTCGTCGTCAGGGTCAGCTTGTTTCGTCGTCATGGTCAGCTTGAATGAGCCCAATTTGTGACAAATCATCTCCAAAAACAAAACTTTTGGCTTAGTACATCTGAACAGCTGGCTGACGCTCATCTTCATGAAAAACCAAACCAAAACAACAAACAAAACTCTTCTGTTTTCATAGGAACGTGTAACTGCTTCTGCAGCACAATTAGTTGAATTAGGTCATATAAAAAGATTACGAGTGGAGACGTCACAAGACAGTAACAAAAAAAGAAGGACAACTAGGTGGTATAAAAGCCTAAGATTAGAGTAGGTGTCACAAGACAGTAACAAACACAAAAAAGAGGAGAGATAAGTACGATAGATGTTTGATAGGAAAACAGGAGCAAACCACACTAAAGCACCCGCCAACCACCCACCCCCACAAAAGCACCAAAACTTCACCTCCTTGAAGAGCTGTCCACAGTACAAGGCAGTCAGTGGAGTCAGCTCCGAGGGCTTCAGGACAACTGTGTTACCACAGGCCAGGGCCGGGCCCAGTTTCCATGACAACATATTGATTGGGTAGTTCCACTGAATGGGAGGAAATAGAGAGACACATGATGGTTTTTTTGTAGATTTTTACGGCACTTGCAACACAGTAAGGTCATATAAGTGCCGAAGATTAGAGGTGTTACAAGAGAGTAACAAACACAATAAAAGAAGGAGGAGAGATCAGGACGATAGATGCTTGATAGGAAAGAAGGAGCAAACCACACCACAGCACCCGCCGACCACCCACAGGGAGGAAATAGAGAGACGCATGATAACAAAGTAAGAGACACGCAACTTCTCATAAGACGTGCCGTGCATGAGAGCTATGCTGACAAAATGATTACTTCTCATAAGACGTGCTGTGCATGAGAGGTATTGAGAGCTAGGCTGACAAAATGAGTTACGTCTCATAAGACGTGCCGTGCATGAGAGCTAGGCTGACAAAATGAGTTACGTCTCATAAGACGTGTCGTGCATGAGAGCTAGGCTGACAAAATGAGTAACTTCTCATAAGACGTGCCGTGCATGAGAGGTATTGAGAGCCAGGCTGACAAAATGAGTTACGTCTCAAAAGACGTGCCGTGCATGAGAGCTAGGCTGACAAAATGAGTAACTTCTCATAAGACGTGCCGTGCATGAGAGTTATTGAGAGCTATGCTGACAAAATGAGTTACGTCTCATAAGACGTGCCGTGCATGAGAGTTATTGAGAGCTATGCTGACAAAATGAGTTACGTCTCATAAGACGTGCCGTGCATGAGAGGTATTGAGAGCTATGCTGACAAAATGATTACTTCTCACAATCTAAGAATAGAGATATCCGCCAAAAATCGACACTGGGTGAAGATTTATAGATTTTCAATTGATGCAGTTTTCTTCAAGCCTGCCGTGTCTTTTGTTCTTCCACACGTACAAATTGTACAAACTCCACCTATACACTTGATATATGAAGTTCCATACGACTGAAATCTGAAAAGTAACTCGTTTTGTTAGCACACCTCACATAGGCCTACATCCTTCCTCCCCAACCCCATCTGTGTTATACACAAAGTTAGCTTATAAGAGACTATAAATACACCATTAATTGCTGGATTCAAATTCATATTATCTAAAAAAGAAAGATTATAATATGAGCCATTGCCAAAACGTCACCCAACTGAGAGGTAGGCTTTTTAGAACCCCAAAAACATTATTTAACTGCTAAATCTACTTGTTTTTCTTGATAAAATTTCGTTCATTCAAACAGTTTTATTAGATCTACAAGGTTTCATCTTGTAAAGGCTGAAAGATAAAAATACTGTCTCATTCTGAAAGTGCGGTTCTGTTGCAACTGTATCCGTTGCAGCGATGGAGACAATAATATAATTTAGAAAATTATATAAATCCTATGGTAAGTGGAACTTAGATTCATTAGATCTAGGTTTATTGCTGCCTGTAGAACAGTTATGCTAGATCTATGTAGGTCAATTAAATTAAATACCGTACTTGTGCGACTTGTTCACTTTCAAATTTTTACTCACAATACTACAATACTATTGTCATATTTTTTTCTGTATATATTTGCAGGAGACGTAAACTTTTACATGCAATAAAACCCTGCAGAAACTTCATGGGATTTGAAATCGTTTAAAATTCACGGTAACAGTAATTCTGTGTTAAATTTAAATGGCTTTTGTGTCAAACAGTCTGCTGTAATTCTTTTTCCTCAGTGATGAAGAGGAAACTAAACAAATACACTTTTTTTGGTTTGAAATGCAACCAGTAATAAAAATAGTTCAGTTATGTAAAATTCTGAACATTTTGATAATATGGGTATGCAGAGTAAAAATTTTATAAGTGTCGTAGTCTATTTTTCTCATACGACAGTCTTACATCCCAATGTAGGCTATGCTAAGGAGTTTTACGGTGGCATTCTGTGTCACAGAGTTGAGATGACATTTCACCATTGAACTGTCAATTTACAGAGTATTTGCACTTAAATGAGCAGATTTTTCATGAATCTAGTGTGACTATGAGATGGGCAGAGTCCTTTTTCTTTTGGATCTAATCCGAAAGTTATCTGATCCTTTGTTTCAGAAGAGAATGGCATTGACATTACACCTAGATCTACTTTCTAATCATGAAAACGGCAAGTAGAAGTGTTTTACAGGAATGTCGCAATTGTTTGCTGCAACTAATGTTTTGAAGTGTACAGTCGCTTCAGTTTATCCTGATTTTGGATGGTCTTATCTTTCAGTCACTGCAAAATACAAGGATCAGACCAAGAGAGAGCAAAGAATCTTGAAATCGGATCGCCATCATTTTGAGCTCCATCGTGTGAGAAAACATGTCTTAGTGCCACTGGGTTGCTTATCACATGGTGCCTCTTACTCTAATTACTCTACTCTAAGACCAATGACTGACTTTTCATTCCACTGTTAGATTTGACAATACCCACCCGACTATCAGAACAGATAACTGCTAAATGCACCGATTTGTCTTTCTTTGTGTACAGACTGGTACTACTGATATGCTGACCCACCCAGTCTCAGTGCACAGAGTACTGAGGATACCCAAAACAGAGTAAACATTGGGTTTACTTTCCGAATTGCGCTTTTCTTTTTGTTCAGCATTTAACGTCATATTACTCAATTTCATAATATAATAAATTGCATTCTTACTGTCTGTTTTTCACATTTTAGTAAAATAATAGACATATTATCAACTTGCTTTTCATCATGTATTTATCAAACATGCATTTTATTTTAACTGGTGTCTGTGGTGCAGCGGTTAGGCACATCTAAACTGAGTTAACAGGGACGTAAAATAAAATAAAAACCCACCTACATTTTATTTTTTCCCTCAGATGAAATAATATTCTATAAAACATGTGCATTTGAAGGCCTGAAATGGATTTGTAGTCTTCTTGAACATGTGCCTGTGAAAAGTATCCCCATTGTATGACGACATGATACACCCGAAACAGATGACAAGATACAACCGCAACAAAGTAAACAGGCTACTGGCTTACTTTTCAGATATTTTGGCTTTCTTTCTGTTCAATACGACTGTAATTATAGTGCTTAAGCTAATAAAATACATTCTGGATGTCTGCTTTCCGTATTTTAGTAATAATAAAAACATCACCGTACTGGTCTTGTGGCGTTTCTTCGCGCAACACGGATTGGCCTAAATAAAAAAATTTCCACTCAAAGTTTTTGAATTGTCTGCTTGTCATTTTGTCACATGCATGTGTGTGGTGCTTTAAGTAAAAATTTAGACTATTTCTGTGAAAATTGCAGCTACTATAGGTTGTTTTATGTTGTGCAGAGATACAACCGCAACGAGATGACAGGGCTCAGAAAACATCCTTTGCAAGTAAAACCGTGGAGAAAGTTATCTGGCCAACACAATTTCATGCAAAGGAAGAACCCTGGGTTTCCTTTAAAAGTATTTACAAGCTGAAATATGAGTGTTTGAAATTTGGTGTATTGCTACTTAGGAAGTGGTGACCTTTTGGCAATGGCTCATATGGGAGAAAACTGTCCGTCTGACCACCTACAACTCAATAGTTGCATCCCATGTATACATATATATATAGGTGTTGGATCTTACCTACTCTAAGATCAGGGGTGTGGCTGAAAGACAACAGTCAGAGGGAGGTGAGGAGAAGCAGTAGAAAGGCTACAGAAAGAATCAGGAGCCCAGAGGAGGGGGAAAGGAGGTGATGTGATTGGAGCAAAAAGTGGAGACGAAATCGGACAACAGAACTTGGTAAAAGGGCAGGTAAAAAAAGTGAAAGGGGAAAATTTTACAGCGTCGCTGTCAGGTTTCAATCGGGGGACCTATTGAAAGAAAGGTGATCATCGTAACCTCTAGACCAGAAGAGCCCGGTTTGCTACTCCACACTGACACTTTGGTGACTGTACCAGTTCAAAATATCTGTACATGTATTGTCTGAGTCTAGTGTGTTGTGTTCTTAGTCTAAAGAGAATCACTAGTTCTTGGCAGGACAGCTCACGGTAGTTATCTGGCATCTGTGGTGTTTCAAAAAGTGTTGCCATTTACAGTACTGAAAAAGTAAAGAAGAAAAAGGACCTATCAGCAGCGTCCTCCAACCACCCACGTAAATGGACTACGACAATAACGACAGCACAATTATGAAAGCGTCCAAATGTACACACCGGAATGACCTGTCCACAAACGTCCACGCTGATGGATCAACAACAACAACAACAACAACAAATCCAACAACAACAACAACAACAACAAATACAACAACACAATTACGGAAGCATCCAAATGTACACACCGGAATGATCTGTCCACAAATGTCCACGCTGATGGATCAACGACAACAACAACAACAATAACAATAACAACAGCAACAACGACAACAACAGCAACAACAACAATAATAACAACAACAGCACAATTACGAAAGTGTCCAAATGTACACACCGGAATGATCTTTCCACAAATGTTCACGCTGATAGATCAATGACAACAACAACAACAACAGCAGCAACAACAACAGTAACAACAACAATAACAATAACAGCACATTTACGAAAGCGGCCAAATATACCCACCGGAATGATCTGTCCACAAACCCCCACAGGCTCGTGTCGTGTGTACGTGAAGTACGGTCCATCTGTCCTCACACACCAAAAAGAAGAAAAAAAAAAGATTGTTATAACTCAGACGAGCTTAGACATGACGAATTCATTTTCATTTCTCTGATCCAGCAGACATCTGAGTTTGAATCCTTCAGCTTGTCATTGTGGCAAAAGAATGTACAGGTTTTTGAAAGATGAGATCAATAAAATTTTGTCATGATTCTTTTCCAGGGGGTTGAGTGGGTAGATCCTTGTCACAAAAAATGTGTCACCACATGGAGGAATCAGGCACTCGTCAATGTTTGGGCATGTGGAGTTATAGGTATTATCTGAAAGCTTATTATCTGAATAAAAGTCGAGATATTTGCAATTGAATGAGGAGTTGGTCTCAGAGGTAAAATTAGCGAGAAAATGGGCGCCAAAGTTCGGACACTTCTATAGCTTTAGAGTCCTAGAAAACTGAAAATTCATATATTTTGTGCCATTAATCAACATCTTTCAGTAAAATTCACATGGAAATGTGCTTTTATAAGACATAAAATGTGTTGAGCCAAAAAACAAAATTTTGGCAAAAATTGCTAAACTGCAGGAAAAATGGGAGTGCTTATTTAGGCCACATATGGCCTAAATAAGGTAAGGGAGGGGGGTTTAGCTTATTTAGGCCACACATGTTCAAACTACCCTTTTCATGCAACTGAGTTCATTCCACTTTCATAATGGTGCCCCTTTCTCATTTAGTATGGTTTTGCCTCAGTGTACAACTTATAAATCATAACCATAATGAATATTGTAAAGAACAAAGCACAAAACGCAAAATTTTGCTCAATTCCAATGGTTTGAATGAGGGCCGGATTTTTCCTTCATGGAGGGGCAAAAGCTAGGCTACCATTTTGGCACACTTTGGTCAAGTGAAAAGGTCAAATCCTCCGAATGGACTTTCGGGTTAAATTTGGGGTATAAAAAGTGTGTATACTACGTGGCTGAGTCAAAGTTACACTATCTTTGCCTGAGTGACACTCTCTCGTACTGTCTCGTAGTAGTACATGTAGGCTAGTAGGCCTAGTAGTAGTAGTAGTAGCAAAGATCGTGTAGAGAATATTTGGTAGTAGATTCTATCTAGTAGGCAGTTTAGTGAACGTGCTCGAGGCAGGGCGAATCGGCCTCGATAAGCCCCGTAGACTTTTGTGATCGGCCACGAAGCCTCGTGTTTTGATGGGTCTAGATCTAGATCTAAACAACTCAGTGCTATTCGCACTGCCACATCCGACAGGCCTAGATCTACATCTTTTTAAAAGGAAAAGAAAGATCATCAAAATAGTTGAATTCGCATGAAAATCGATTAGGTAGAACTAGAACTATTAAAACTTGCTTCTGAAAACAAGGCAATTTTTATACGAAGGCCATTTTTATAACTCGATGAAATAAAAACTACTGACTGTGTACTGTGTTATTCTGTATAAAAATAAATTATGAAACTTCAGGACGTCGATCTATTATTATTTACCAGCATCTTTTGACGCCTGAGCTGTAGAGGTTGAAGTTTTCACAACACTAATAGATCTAGTAATAGGGTTAGGTAATACGGCTTTCCGTAAAAAATGCATAGATCTACAAAAGCCGACCACCGAATCGACCGGGCGCCTCGGTCTCCCCTGCACTTTGATTCAATATTATATTTAAACAAAAATGCTAATCAATGAAAATTGCAAATTGATAATAATAGTATAGACCTGTAGAGTATAGGTGGACTCCGGGGTCTGCATAGCGAAATACTAGGTTTTAGGATGTGGACCCCGGAGTCACCGTAGTGAAATAAGGTTTGGTTTAAGTAAGGATTGGTACTAGGTTTTAGGACAGGTGGACCCTGGGGTCACCGCAGTGAAATAAGTAGGTTTCTTTAAAGATTGGTGGAACCCGGAGTCACCAAGGCCATAGAGGATTAAGAAGGTTTAATTAAGGATTGGTGGACCCCCGGGACACCTTGATTAAACCTACCTATTTTACTACGGTGACCGCAGGATCCACCTATTCTAAAACCTAACTATTGTTTCTTTAGGTAGACCCTGGGGTTCACCTTAAACCTACCTATTTCACTACGTTGACTCCAGGGTCCACCAATCCTTAAAATTAAACCTAGATCTACATGTACTTATTTCACTACATTGACCCCAGGGTCCACCAATCCTTAATTAAACCTAGATCTACTGATTTCACTACATTGACCCCGTGGTCCTCCAATCCTTAATTAAACCTATATCTACTTATAATTTCACTACTTTGACCACGGGCTCCGCCAGTCCTATTATAAAATAAACTTAGATCTACTTATTTCATTATGTTGACCCCGGGGTCCACCGATCCTTAGTTAAACCTAGATCTACTTATTTCACTACGCTGACTCCGGGGTTCACATCCTAAAACCTAACATTTTGTTAGGTAGACCCCGGGGTCCACCTATCCTTTTGGCTAGATAGACCCCGTAGTCCGCCTATCCACTTTCTTGATAATAACTGAAAACAATACATGCCAGTTGTCATTTATAGTGAAGAAAAATGAGGGGAAAAAATATAATTAGGTAGACTTTAATTTGTCCAAAAAATTGCAAGTGCAAGTGAAGATCATAAAATAATTTTGTTATTTTCTGGTCACCTTTCCAAGGACCTTAAATTGATTCTACATCACATGTCATGTACGATACGGCTGTGAAGGAAAATGGATGTGAAGAGTTTTAAAGAGATAATAACGTAACTTGTAAAGAAAACAATGCTTTACATTGGTTTGGTTATTTTGACTATATATGTGGCCTAAATAAGGTAAGGGAGGGGGGTTTAGCTTATTTAGGCCACAGGTGTGGCCTAAATAAGGTAAGGGAGGGGGGTTTAGCTTATTCAGGCCACAGGTGTTGCCTAAATAAGGTAAAGGAGGGGGGTTTAGCTTATTTAGGCCACCTGTGGCCCAAATAAGGTAAGGGAGGGGGGTTTAGCTTATTTAGGCCATATTTGGCCTAAATAAGGTCACCCAGGAAAAATACCCCTTTTTTTCAATTTCAATATTTTGACCAGTGCATGATTTCACCACGATGCCTCACAAATGTATCTTACAAGAAAAGGTACTATCTACAACCTGAAACATTATGTGACTGTTACAGAATGTAGTATGTGAGAGAAGGGTACGGTATTCATCCTGAAACATTATATAATCATTGATACTACTTCAATGATACATATAGCTACATGCTGATACACTGCGTAATTGTTACATATATATAGCTATATGCTGATACACTGCGTAATTGTTACATATATAGCTTTATGCTGATACACTGCGTAATTGTTACATATATAGCTTTATGCTGATACACTGCGTAATTGTTACATATATAGCTACATGCTGATACACTGCGTAATTGTTACATATATAGCTTTATGCTGATACACTGCGTAATTGTTACATATATAGCTACATGCTGATACACTGCGTAATTGTTACATATATAGCTATATGCTGATACACTGCTTAATTGTTACAAAATATACCATGCAAGAGAAATGTATGCTATTCATCCAGAAACACTACATAATTGTTACAAAATGTAGTATGCAAGAGAAGACATCTCGATAAACTGCATAATTGTTACAAAATCTATTATAATAAATGCAATATAGACATCCCATTGACACAACAAGAGAAGCTGCTCGAGCTGACACACAGAAGAACTGAGCTGGACGGCCCAATGTATGACAGACGGACTTTAGGTGAGATGTGATCGAGAAGAAGAAGGAGAGGAAGCAAAGTATATTTATTTTCACTAATATGCAAACATGGTACTGGAGACCAAATGGAAAAAGAAGACGAGGTAGACCAACTAGCAGAGATAGGAAGATGATTACATGACCAGGGATGAGGCAATCACCCAAAGTCTGGCTGTGCCAAGACTGGAGGAAGTGGCCAGGGACAGACAAGTGTGGCATCGACTGTTCTCTGCCTGGTGTACCTGTGGGTGTTTGGCGGGTGCTCTGGTGTGGTTTGCCCATTCTTTCCTTTCAAAAATCTATCGTCCTGATCTCTCCTCTTTCTTTTCTTTGCACCTTACTCTGTTGCAACACCTCTAATCTTCTGTTCTTATATGATCTATTCACGGTGCAAATGACGTAAAACTCATTCTAAAAAAATTATATATACCTGATAGTACAGGGAAAGAGGAGTAGAAATATGTGAAAACAATAAAAATAGACACATGGAATCAATAAAGAGACACTGAACTCACCAGTTGGGATTGTCTTGCCACATATTTTATCACACCATCCAGCATAGTATTTGAAGACATCAATGGTAGCTGTAACATCATCATTTGCATCAAAGTATGGCTTTCCATTGTCAAGTGTTTCAACAGCCTGAAATGTTGGGAAAAACGAATAAGGAGCAATTTCAGTATAAGATAAGCACTCCCAGCATTTTTGACTTATCACTTTACTCTGTTACATTTTCTTGTCTCTGTTAGTCGACAGTGTCAAGGGGAGACCCAAACGTCTTTTTCTTTGTTTGCGTAGCACCAGCTGTTGCCAGGTGATTTTGTTTATGTCTAATTTTTCTCTGACCTCCTCTATCTCTCCCTGGGCCTGCTTTTTTATCTACGAACTCTTTGGAGATGTGCATTCTAGCCTTCGTCAACGTTAAAAGGCCCCTCTGTTTAGGGGCTTGACTTTGTTATAACTTATTAATACAAATTTTTCAATTCGATTTACTTTACCTTAAACTAGGAAAGGCAACCTGAATGTGCATACTGTGATGAAATATGCAAATTTGTGTTTCCAATTTGTGTAATAAAGATAGAAATGTGGGGGGAGGGGGGGATATGATACCCAGTTAGAAGGTGAAAAAAGATCACAGTCATCTTATTTGAAAAGACGACGTGAATTTAATTCAAACATACCGCCAAATATTCTGAATCTCTCTCAAGAAGTTCAGCGAATTTAGAGAGTAGCCGGCCCCTCTTTGACGCATCCATCGACCTCCACGGAGAATCCAGTTTGAAGGCATCGGTGGCAGCTTTCACAGCAAGGTCAACATCATCCTTTCAAAAAAAGGTGCAACCTGTACCATTTTATTGTGAAAACGTTGTTTATTAACACAAAACATTATTGAAATATTATCAATAATGGTGCGTCATTTATAACTTAGTCTGTTTTCACGGAAGTCTCTTAAAACTACAAGAGAGCAAAAGTAACAAATCGCTTAACTCTTTTCCTGCCACGCCAAAATCCACCACAGGGTATTTCCCTGACCTATTTTTACACCCCTACCCCGCCAAAGGAAAATGACAAAACATCCAACTAAACACACTCGAACCATATCCTATGGCCCGTCAAACTGAAGGTTAAACAATGATCTGTCAGATGGTGGTACAATATTGAAGATTTATTCCAATTATATTACTTTATGGTTCTAAAAGTGATTGTGCAGTATCGAAGGTGTCATATGATAAATGAACAAATTTTCCAGTTTTGAAAGGTCATATCTAAAAAATAACAGCATCATCCAAACTTCCCAGGTAGGTTGCCTCAAGTAATGCAAAGAAATGCTGAAAGTTATGTATGTGTACCTAATATAAAAGTGAAAATAGGAGACATATACTGAGGTCAGGGGACGTGTAGAAAAGGACCCAAAAAAAGCGCTGAAATGACTCAAAATCATCTCTCAGTGCTATATTTTCTTTCGTATCCGCTAACAGAAAGTTTATTCTATTATTTTGAAAACATGGATCGGCCGAGAATTTTGTGTCATTTCATTACTGGATTGGAATAGATAGCGAGCCACTCGAGCCGTATTTTGCGGCTCTCGGTCCAGCGAGGCCAGGTCCGTGAGCGGCTCAAGGTCGGGAAAGTGTTAAGAATAACATGACAGCCAGACACACAAAGATCAGAAACTGCTCATTGTAGGTAGGTAGAAGTACAGTCTCTGACATTTAGTAGCGGACTATAGACATAATAAAGATAATAATAGTTTGTCAATATCTGATGATCTAGACATAATAAAGATAATAATAGTTTGTCAATATCTGATGATGGCCAATGTATCTGTAGAGAAGAATTTTGTTCAAGGGAAATAGAAGAAATAAGGATTAGGATGATTTGTGGTTTTTGCTATGGCCGGTGAGATCAATTCTGGTAGAAAAGAGTTTGCCACATTTTGAGAATTTAAAAGCTTCATATATTTCCACTTCGCTGATGTGCACAGTTGCAGAGAAGGTGACTAGACAAGAAAAAGAAGAATGCATTTTTTTTTAAAACATATTTTTTAACGAAGTCTTTAAAGTGTCAAACCTTTTCAGCTGCTTGAACTTCACAGAGCACTTTCTCGGTGGCTGGATTGATGATCGGGACAGTTTTGCCCCTGATGGCATCCACAAATTCATTGTTGATGAACAGCTGAAAAAAAAAAAACATGCAAAATGTCGACCACTACATATATATAAGAATAGAATGTTGGCCAGGTCATAGAACCTAATCAATTTATAGAAATTTCACTGCATACAATTTTTTAGAAAACAAAAAAATTAAATATCTATGTGCATAAGAAAAATTCAGAAGCTGAAAATCTCTATGTAGTGCTAATCTGTGCAACACAAGATGCTTACCTTAGTATATTTGATTTCAATGGTGGATGGATCTGGTGCAGCCATGTTTTTCCTGATTGTTCTACTTCAGCCTCAAGTCTTTGTGTAGCACTTTTATCTGAAAATAAACACAGGTCACACACTGCGCGTATTGTAAGACAAAACTAAATTCTTAATTGCAGATAAAAAAAACAAAAAAACAAAGGAACAGGTTTGTGCATGGGAGGAAATTTCACGTTGCTCTGAGGTGAGGAATGTAGTTATGTAGCCTTTTACAATAAGTTGGGAAATACAAAGTTCATGCGATACAAACCCTGACCACCTCTTTCACTATATGGCCCATCATATACTGAGCCTGATCCCCATGAACAGTGCAGTCATGGATGTGTCAATTTTGGGGCATATGGAGTTATTGGTTTCATCTTAAAGCTTGTCCTTTTGCCTTGCTTCAGGTGAAAACAATATCTATTTATCCATGATACAAGTCAAGATATTGGTGATTGGAGGAGGAGAGGTGGCCTTGTTTTTGCGGCAAAATTAGTGAGAAAACAGCCGCCAAAGTTGAGTTATTTCCTGAGCTTGAGAGCCAATGGAAACTGATATATAATTTACATCTCTTATGCCTTAAATCAACGTTTTTCAGCACAATCCACACAGAAATGTGTTCTTTAAAGGGCTTGAAAGGTGTTGAGCCAAAGAACAAAAATTCTTTTAAAATTCCCAAACTTGCGGAAAAATGCTAGTTTCTTCACTTTGCCTATTCTGACGAGAGCCTGACTTCACCACGCTACCTCACATATATTAAAAAATGTACTAATGTCAAAATAACAAATATATATATATATAATCTCCGCCAAAGAACCCAGTGCCTGTGAGCAAGGAAAATGTGAGATCTTAGGCGAATGGGATCTTAGCTGAAGCAACCACAGTGACTATGATCAGTCCGACAATTGGTAAAATGGTTTCCCTTTACTCTCTGAAATGAACCGATGTGACTCCTCAGTAGGTTTATGACTTATGGTGAGCTGTGTAGGTAGTCCTTCGTAGCCGAAGATGACAATGAATCCTGCAGCTCATCTGTGGACGCGCATGTGGCTGTGCAATCTGATCTCGGATGTACAATGTCTGTTGCAGTGGGGACACTGGAATGTCGTGGTTATGGTGGTTAGCTTATGTCTCCTCTCTCTTCTGATAGTCATCTTCTCCCTGTAGTTTGTATCACTGTTTCTGCTGGCAATACGGACGGCCCTGAGCCAGGCGTTTCTTTCAGTGGCAGTTCTTTTGATTTCTTTGGTTACCTGTGCGAGCTGAAGGTTTTCCTTTATCGTGTCTTTGAACCGCTTTTTTTACCTCCCGAGATTTCTTTTGCCACTTGCGAGTTCTCCGTACAGCAGCTGTTTGGGCATTCGATGGTCTTCCATGCGGATGACATGGCCGACCCATCTCAGTTGGGCTTTGACAAGCATGCTTTCTATGCTTTGTGAGCTTGATCGGTTGAGGACCTCAATATTGGTGATGCGGTCTTGCCACCGGATGCCGAGTATGCTGCGGAGAGCCCTTTGATGGAACTGCTCTAATTTGTTGATGTGCTTCCTGTAGAGTGTCCAGGTCTCC